GGCATTCGTTCTCACTTGTTTTTTACGGAGCAGGCCCAGACTTCGCAGTAACTTTGTGTATTCCATTCTACAATCAAGTACGTACCAGTCAGCTCTTTTATACATATTTTGCAAGATAACAAAATTTAAGTGTTTTACCCAAATTCCGAGCTTGTATAATTGCGATTAAGATGTCGAATCAATCATTGGCGGCAGGGGATGGAACTCTAAACGAATTCCTGCTCTCCCAGCTGGAGTGTCCCATTTGTCTGGTTTACATGGTGAAGCGGATATGGCAGTGCGAAAATGGTCACCTGATTTGCAACAACTGCCGCGATAAGGTTGGCACATGCCCAATCTGCCGGGTGGAGCTAACCTATATCAGGAGCCTTTCAATGGAGAAGGTGGCCTCGAAGGTGATCTTTCCGTGCCGTTTCTCGGACTTTGGCTGTCTGGATCGGCTTCCATTTGCGGACAAGTCCGAGCACGAGCTATTCTGCAAATTCCGGCCGTTTTGCTGCCCTTTTTCGAAGAACAACTGCTCGTGGAGGGGACCCTTGATGGACGTCTGCCGGCATCGAACTCAGGCCCACAGCGACGTGGTCCTTAAGGAGGGCAGCGAGATCGCCTTTGAGGTGGATGGTATAACTCGGGAGGACACAGAACGATGGTTCATGATGACTTCGTGTCATGGGTGGCACTTCGTTCTCACCCTTTTCAAGACCGAGTTTGGCCCCCAATCTTGGATTTTCTGCATATCTTGCCGCATCGTTGGGGAGCAGGAGGATGCCGATGCCTTCTATTTCAAGACCTCTCTGATGACCAATGGTACAGAACTCCAACGACAGGGAAAAGTCGGAACACTAGGTCATTACGACACGACAATGGATGTATATATTATGGTCAAGTCCCTTGATGAGTTTACCTCCGGGGAAGACGATATGATGATTAAATTTACCGTCATTGAAGGGAAAATGAAGGAAGAGAGCCAAGACTTCAGGGTGGCTCAGTTTTTATTTTGAATTTTATAACGGAGTCGAACCGAATAACTAAATTAATAGTCTAAATTAATAGCCAAGTTCATGCCAAACAATTTTTAAATCGGACCATTCATTAAAAAGTTATGAGCAAATAATGAAATGAACGCTAGGTGGCGCCTTGCCATGCTATGCTTGCACATCTCCATCTCGCTCGCACTTCGCTAAGCTGAATATCTGATAGTCGAAGCACTTGTTTTGTTATAATAATCTGTTTTGAATTTTAAAATATTTTTAATTTGATAATGCTTTTATAAATTTCGGAAAATCTTGGACCTTAATTCCTTTGGATATTCAAAGTGTCCATTATTTTTTCGAGTGCATTGACAGTCGTGTCGATTGCACGTCTTGCCTGGCCCTCATCCAGAGGCTTGCTGGGTTCGCTGCCTATGCATCAGCCGCATCCCCATCGTCCTTCGTCCTGAGCTCCTCTTTTGTGTGTGACTATATCAGAGTGTGAGTGAGAGTGTTAGTGTGAGTGCGAGTGTGTGTGTGAGCGAGTGTTTGAGCGATCGACCATGAAGCCTTCATTATTGCATTTCATGATTTTGCGGTTCTTTATGCTCGTTCCTTTACACTAGGCGGCGACACAAACAGGGAAAGCTTCTGCGGGAAAGATTGGTGGAAATGTGGGACTATCGGGGGGCGGCGAAGCGGGTGGGCGTGGCCGGGGCAGGACACTGGACGAGAAGCGTCTGCCATGTGCCATGTGCCATGTGCCATGAGCCATTTGCCATGTGTTTGGCCTGGCCGGGACTGGTGTCGACACTTTCACAACATCCACATCCTCATATCCCCGCATCCTCATATCCCCGCATCCACAGCGACAAAGACATCAGAGTCAGGCCCAGGATATGGCTTTGCCCCTCGTCCTGCATTCATTTCCATCTCGAGAATCGACTCGCTTCTCCTGTCCGTGTGCCTCATTCAAATTTTCAATATTTTCTATGTGTGCTGCCGGTCGTTATCACGCATTTCCTGCCATTTGCATCGCCATCGACATCCACATTCACATCCACAGCCACATCCACATCTACATATCCATTGCCATTGGCATTGGATTGGTAACGGGAATTGCAGCCGCAAGACACTGGCTACGTGGCCAGCAACCGACTTGACCAATTTGCCGCCCCTGCGGTTCCGGGTTGAGCGCATTAGGCCGCACATTGGGCCAAGAGTCCTGGAGTCCTCGAGTCCTGTAGTCCCGGGATGGCATAAATGCAAAACCGATCGTGGGGACCTCAAACCGAATCGAAGTACAAAAGCAGCTGAGGTATATGCGTGTATCATGAATGGCTTGAGTTGAAGGTTAGGAAGGTTAGGGGGTCAGCAGTTCCAATGGAGGGCGAGCGCAAGACACTTTCAACTTATTTGAAATAATATTTTAGGTAAATTATATAATTATTACATATATTTCAAAAATATTTTTTGCATTTATTTGCATTTTTAGCTTAAAACTACATTTACAAATTTAGGTTGGTGGAAAAAATATAAAAATAATTTTGTTAATTTATTTTATTTTATTTATTTATTGTACACTGTAGCTGGAAGTTTAAGCTTATGGTGCAGGGAAAAATCACCGTTAGTTGCAATGACTATTTCCTATTTTATTTGTAACTAATCAACTGATAATTCGGACTTCTTAAACTGAAAATTATATTTTTTCATCCCAAATGAGTATGAAACAATAATAACAAATATTTAGAAGCTTGAAGTTTATATTTCGTAAGGTCTTTCTTATAAAAGCTACTTTTCCTAATATCATATTCACTTTATGTTATAGATGTTCCAAATGTCATTTTAAGTCATATTTAATTATTTACTTTATTTTTTATTTTGATGATGTTAGAGATGTTTACAAAACTAAAACTAACTAAAGACATATTATACAATCGGCATTGTTATTGTTAAGTCGATAAAATAGGAACAAATGTCATAATTGATTAACAATGCTATATAATTTAAAGGCAGTGTGCAAAGAACCCTTATTTATAACCAATTGAATATTTAATGAAGACCCTTAGCCGGTGCTTCGTTAGATAGAAACAGTGAAGCCAATAATTCCTTAAGTGATCCTGATGCCATTACTTAAATTATCTCGGATTTCGTTTGCCATATTTTCACACACTCATCGCATTTTGGCCCACCTTTTCGTTCAGCCCAATGATCAGTGACAACTGGCCACCGGCAACTGGCTTCCTACCATCTACCTATCTTTCCATCTGACTCTGACTATCCGACTGTCCAACTGACCCGGCCATAATCCGAGTGGCCGTATCCGCTGGGGAGCAACAGCGTCGCATTCGGCTGTTAATGCCACTGATTGCTAATAAATTGAAAACCATTTCAGCACGGCCCTGGCCCGAAGGCAATAGGTGGCAGAGGATTTGCCGCCGATGGTGGAGCAAGGGAATCGAAAATGGGTATCTGAATCGCAATCGGAATCAGAAGCCCCTTCAATGAATATGCAAAAACAAGGCAAACAGTGAATAAAATCAAAATAAAAACTCATTTATCAACACGCATGGCGCAGAAAGAGGCAGACGGAGGCAGTCTATCCATCTCCATCGATGGCTGGTGAATGGTGGACAAATGTGAGAGGTTTGTTGGCCACGTGTTGGCCAAAAGGGAAAAGGTCACAAAAGCAGGTTAAGCTGCTTTTTTAAATAAAGCGCACAGCACGTTAATACTGTCGCCAGGACGAAGAAGGGGGTCCTTTAATTTTTCCACCCCCCTTTGCCACGTGCGAACCATTCCGCTGGCGCCGAACGACTGAGGACTGAAGCTTCCAGCCAACCGATTGCAACCGATGAGAAACGAATCGGTTAGCCGATTATCAACGAACTGCACCCGAAGCACTTCGGCTGGTCCTCGGTTTCCTCCTCGGGAATCGGCGAGCCACACGATTGGCGACTCCTTCGGACGGTGGCCGTAATCCGTTCGCTGGATTTTTTGAATTAGTTGCGTGTGGTAGCTTGTTGACATCAGTACCGGGTACCGGATGCGGATGCGGACACGTGCGTGGCCCGCAAATCTCTCGCCAAATCTCGACAAGTCCTAACTTGACGCGACCCCTCGAATAAAAAAGTTCATAGTTTAGAGCAGCGAAGTTCGGTGTGTGTGAGATAGCAGATAGCAGAGATCCCCATCTGGTTTTTCGGGTTCTTTTTTTTTTTTGTTCTTCTTGTTGTTTTTCTTATCACTCTTCCCTAGTTGTGTGTTTGTGTGAGGTGAGTGATTTTGTTGGTTTCTGTTTGGCACCTGCAAACTGCAACAGTTGCAAACGCTTTAAACTACACAACAATCCGAAATGGAGCCAAATCCAAACTAAAACCCAAAACCCAAACCCAACCGAACCGAACCGAACCCAAAACCAAACTAAACCGGGCTGATAGCACGTCAGTAGCTGGCTAAAACCTGACCTGCGGTCATTTGCCGTTGGTAGGATGGTCAACGGTTCAGCTAGTTTTGTGGTCGCTTTGACGTGGTCGCGGGCAATTTGAAAGCCAACACCGAAACGCCGATTACGATAAGTGCAGTCGAATCGAAAGGAGGCTGCCAATGGGATGCAGAATGGGCTTTGGAATCGGAATTGGAAGCGGAATCATCATCATCATCAGCAGACTGCTAAACATTTCGCATTCGCTTTCCGCCTGATGTTGTATTTCATTTTGCCACTCGCCATTTTGCATTTCCATTCCCATTCCCATTCGCATTCGCATCGCTTTCTCATCCTTTGTCGTCGTTTTCTAGTTTTTAGTTGCCCAGCAATTGCTGCTGCCAGTTTGCAATTAAGGACCAGCCCCATGCAAATGGCAAATGGCAAACAGTGAGGGGCTGTGGGATTTAAAGAACCATAACCGAGAGGCGAAATATTAAATACTAAATGCCAGCCGCCGAGGGAAAGGCATTTCAGTCCGCCTGTTGCCTGTCAGCATTTTGTTGAATGTTGAAGTCACACAGTCGCACTTGCAGTCACAGTCGCAGTTGCAGTCACAGTCGCCATCACCATTGCCATCAGGATCTGCATCTCCCTCAGGTGTCCTGAGCGACCATCCAGCCACTTTGAGTGTGAACAGGTGAGTGACAACGTGAAAAGGGACCCAAAAGGGATCGCAAGGCTGTGAAGAAACTTTATGGCACCGCCAAAAAATAAATAAATCAAGAATTTATTAGGATTAAACTTGGGAACCACAACAAATTTCGGCAATAATCGCTTAAAACAAGAATTTATTTTCTAAACTTTATAATTACAAATATATAATGAAGAAATAATTATTAGAAATTTAAAAGTTGTTTAAAAATATCTATATTGAAAAACATACATTTTAAAATTTTAAATATAGTTCCAAAATAAATATAGTTCCAAAACATTTGAGGCGTAGGATTAACATGATTCATATCAGGAAATATTCGCAATAATACGAGGATCAACCGATACTATTTATTCATACAATAGACTAGACTTCAACGCCCTTGGGGAGTCACACTTTTAGAGCTTTAGGTCGTTGGTGGAGCTTATGCATAAAACAATGCATGTAAATTTGCATGAATAAATAAATATTCAGCTAGAAATAAAATGGAAAAATGAATTGCCCCGACAATTGGTTTCAAAAATAATTGAAAGTACTACCGACTTAAAAAAATGAAAATTTTAACAATTGCGGGGACACTATTAATGGTTTAGCTATAATTTGGAAGGCCACAAAATACCCCACTGAATTTTATTCGAAGCTTGTGAATGGTAGAAATGTGAAAACCACCTGCAGTAACCCAGATTTTCTTTAGTAGAAAGCACCTGCCTGGTTCACCTCGGGCTTCTCCTCGCTGGGTTGATCCTCGTCCAGCAGGATCGGCAAGCTGTCCTCCGTCTTGGGACTTTCATCTGGGGTCTCCTCCTCGTCGTCCTCCTCGCTGAACATGAGCTGGTAGGGATTGTGCAGGCCGTACTCCAGGATCTCCTCCAGCTTGTCATTGTCCTTGGCCTCGTCGGTGTCCTCGCCATCGGTCTCTGTCTCCGTCTCCGCCTCCGAATCGCTGTCACCCTCGCAGCAGAGGATCTCGTGGGCCAGCAGGGAGATGGTCTCTTCGCAGAAGACCTCCACCTCGTCCAGTTCGTTGTCCGAATCCCCAGCCAGCGGACTGTACAGGCTCACCTGAGGATCATCGTCCACTTTGGCGTTCGCATCTGGATCGGATGTGCTGTTGGCTAAGAACGGAATTACATATCTTTAGACTCGGAATCCCATCGGCATCACCTTCGCTATCTGTTTCTCCAGAGCTGGTTGGCTCACTGCTAACCGAGCTACTGGACAGCTCTGCCTCCTCGTTCAGGAAAATGGCGCCCAACGTGGGGCATTCCGTTTTCTTTTCCTTCTGGGTCGCCGAGGAGCAGTCCCGCTTTAACTTGGCCGCTTCGCCAGCCATCATTGATCCCGATTTGGGTTCCGATTCCGATCCCGACCCTCTCTCTATATATTCTATATGCTATGTGCCTCCGGCTGTCTGACTGCCTCCCGTAGAGATTCCGAACTTGTTTCTATGCGTGCTGGAATGGCTTTGCCCGGCAACTGCGACTGGGATTGGTTTTGGTTTGGGTTTGCTTTGGTTTTCGCTTCGTTTCGGGTAGTTCGAGATGGGAGCAGTGGCAGGAAGCAATGCTGCCGGCACGTAATGTCCTGGGCGCTTCCTCCCAGGACGGCGAATTAAATTTTATGCCAACTGCAATGCCCTTAAAGGCGAAGGCAAAGGTCTTCGAAACGGAAAGGAGACGGGGCCACGGAGACAGGGCCACGGAGACAGGGCCAAGATGGAGCTGCAATCGCAGACCGGCTAACTGCGGAATCGTCACAGGCCGCAGGCCGCGCTCCACATGCACACTGACTGCCAAAAGGACACAAACAGGACACACATAGGACACACACATACACGCATGCACCAACTGGCTACCGCAGCAAAGTTACATTTGAAATTTTATTTCCATGGCCAGGACTAAAAATGCAACAAATAAAAACGGAGTCCAACTGCCGTCGTTATCATTGTATCACTCTCATCTGGGCCAGGCGACACGCCCCTCTTCCTCCTCCGCCTCCTTCATCCCCCTTCATCCCACTGCAAGGACATCCGGTCGAGGGGGATGAAGGGGATCGACCGCAGCGTACCAAGCAAGCCACTTAATAGGGCAGGCACAAATTACCAGACAGCAAACGGGGCTTTAATAAAATTTATAAATTGATATAAATTATTATGAGAGTAATTATCATATCGATGGCGGCGAGAACACATTTAATTTAATTCCTTGTTTTTCAGTTCCAAACTTTTTCCACGACGACTACAGTGAGCGCCCGCGAGTCAATTAGTTTTTGCTCATCTATTTTAGTTATTTATCAGGGGTTTTTTTGTTGCTTAGAAAGAAATATGTGAACTAGAATAAAAGTAGGTATAGTTTGTTAGTAATGCAAAAATATAATAGTTTTTTCCCAATTTTTTTAAATTAGCCAAGAATTTAATTTCTGAAATTGAACCGAAATTAAATGGGGTTTCTCAAATCAAAAAAATTAAAAATTTAATTTAATTTTCTTAATACTATAAAAATGTCTTAAAATTAAAGTTCAAGCTAGAAATAAAATATTATCTTAATTAATGCACTTTTTTGTTCAGGTTTATCTTCTTTGCTATTTATTTATTCTAGTTTTATATGATTAGGTGAGAAGTGGTGCCCACAACCCACTCAACTAATATACCCCTAGGGCAAACTACACATTCACTACGAACTTTCGCCCGTTCCCATTTCCATTTCCATTGCCATTTTCACTCGCATTCCCTTGACCCAGGAGCAGGCCAGGAAGGACCCGGCCAGGACCTAGTCAGGACCTAGCCAGGACCACTTTGGCGAACCACAATTTAATTTCTGTTTCAGTTTCGGTCTCGGTGCAGTTTTTTGCAGCAGTTCAGTAGTTCAGCTGTTTCGCTTTCTTTTCAGCCTGTTCCGAGGCCTTCCGGTCGTCAGAGGCAGTCGCTTTGTGGTGCCTCTTTGGTCGGCATTGTGTCGCCTAAAATTCCCCAGTGCTCCTCCTCATTCTCATCCTTATCCCCATCCTCATCCCATGGCAGTAATCCAGTTTAAAGCCGGAATCCGTGCTGCCTGCAGAAGCGGGAATGGAGCTCACTGCGTTAACGAACATAATAACCCTTTTCTCTCTAATTACACACCAAATTTACTACAAACGAGCAATAAAAATCATCCAAGCAAAATCTGTGCTCCGGCCACAGAAAAACCCTACCATCCACTCGCTAACCAGGCGAAAAACCCACCAGAGAAACCCCTTCCACTGGCAGCGCTTAAATGCAAATGCTTTTTTCCCATGCACAGCACAAAAAACATTAACAACAATGACAATAAATGAAAGACATTAATGCTAAGCGATCCGCATCTCGTTCCCGAGCCACCATTCCCCATCCACCTCCTCATCCTCATCTACAAACCCGAGAAGAAATGGGAATGGGAGCTCGACGTTGACGACGATTGGCGACAGTGACAGGCTTTCCAAAAAAAAAAAAAAAAAAGAGCGAGGTTCCTCGACAGTCAATGAAATAAAATTAAACAATTATGAGAAAAAGGCTGTGGGGGGGAGGTCCTTCCCTCGCTTCCCTCGTTTAAATTTGGCATGTCATAATTTCGGTACCTTCCCCTCCTCCACATTCTTCATGTGGATAATTATTTGATGCTGTGCTCTCTCCATTCTCTCACATATCTGGCACATACCCATCTAAAGTACGGCTGTAACCGGTAACTTCCACTTAAACCTCACTCATTCACTCATCCGACCGACAGTGGGGCAAATTTTACGCGACGTAATCGTAATATGATTATCGTGCCACATAATCCCCTCATCCCTTGTGGCTATGTGTGTGTGGGTATGCGTTAAATAACTTCCTTCCGGTGGCGACAACATCAGAACAGAACAGAACAGAACAGCCAGCAAAAGCGACTCCTCGTGTATCCGCTTCCGTTGAATGATGCCGCAGAAATGCTCCAAATCTCATATCATCATTTACGCAGTAATTTTTCGAAGCCAACTGGATGATGAGGGCCCCCTGGTTGGATGGAATTATCCAATTCAACCGCAGGACACTTTGGCCCCACTCGAAAGGCAACTGCATAAAGCCCACTACCCACTACCCACCAGTAACCAGTAACCAGTACCATTGGCATAATAAACAAAGCTTCAGCTCGCAACTCATGCGAGTCAACTTCCAGCGACGACTGCGAACTGTGACTTTGGCTGCGTGTTGAGGGCACGTCCATCCGGTGGAGGATGGGGATGGGGATGGGGATGGAGATGGGGATCAGGATGCGAAGGAGGAGCAGGACTAGGTCTCTGGCTTTTTGCAGCTCTCCGAGTGTCCTTATTTTAATCTCGACACAAGTTAACAGCATTGTTGGCAGCCGCGTGCCATCCGTGAGCTTTGCCTGAGTCCCGAGTACCGAGTCCTTCGTCCTTAGTCCTTCGTCCTGCTGCCTCTAACTCAACATAATGCGCACAGCTCGCTCGGTATTCATCCTAACCGCATCGCATCGCAGCTCCTCCTTTTTACACCCCTCCCCGCGTCGAAAAAGGACTATCCCTAGTTTCGGTTTCAGCCACCGGATTCCCTCCTCGTCGTCCTTGTCGTCCACATCCTTGTCATTAGCAGTTAGCATTCAGACGACATCGTCGTCGTCGTCTCCTTCGTTGCCTGTCGCCTGCCGTTCATAATGTTATGATGGCTAAAAGCTAATTGCGTTTGTCTGTGTTAGTTGCTGACATTTGGCCTCCTCTCATCATCCCTGCCCTTTCCAACCCGCCCTCCTTTCTTCCTCCGGCGTCGACGTGGCGGCATTAAGTGTCACTGGAGTGCGTGATCCTTGTAAGTCGTCTAGTTACACATGTTTTTATAACCTGTTTTCCAGGAGTACCCTGTTGTCCCAGCACCGCCGGCACCCCGGGAGGATTAGTTGGGGGCTAAGCAAGCATTTTGATTTTCATCTCCATCGCAGGGTAAACAAAGAGGAAAGGAACTCAGAACTTAGAGCAAGTAATATCAGAATAAATAGAGGATCCCGTTTGAAATACTAAAAATATATTTAAACGATTACCTTTTAAGAAAGTATTAAAATGGGACTTTAATGGAATAGAACTTAGAACTTAGAGGAAGTAATTTCAAAGAATTTGAGGATCCTGTTAAAATACTTAAAATGTAATCGAATACCTTTCAATAAAGTATTAAAATGGGACTTTAATGGAATAGAACTTAGAACTAAGAGCAAGTAGTTTCAAATAAATAGAGGATTCTGTTGAAATACTAAAAATTTAATCGATTACTTTTCAAGAAGGTATTAAAATTGGACTTGAATGGAACAGAACTTAGAACTTAGAGGAAGTAATTTCAAATAATTTGAGGATCCTGTTAAAATATTTAAAATTTAATCGAATACCTTTCAATAAAGTATTAAAATGGGACTTTAATGGAATAGAACTTAGAACTTAGAGCATGTAGTTTCAAATAAATAGAGGATCCTGTTTAAATACTAAAAATGTAATCGATTACCTTTCAAGAAAGTATTCCTTAAGTTCCATTAAGGAATTCTTTTTACATAATATCAGATATTAATTTCTTTTTATTATAATTACTGGATATTAGTCTGTCGAATTCCGTTTGCTTGCTTTGAAATGCCTTTTGTTTTCGCCAACGTCATCGTCATCGTCTTTGTCATTGAAGTTGTAAGTAGTTCGGCATGTCCTTGGTGGCCCCGTATCAACTTTGTTGTGGTGTCATTCAACAGCTCGGGCGTGAGTCACTCGGCTCAACTCAAATCGATTCGAATCGAATCAAATGGCTTAATCAGCTGGACCAGCGAATGACCAAGGCCCCCATGACTTCACCTGTCAAGATGCCAGCGAGGATGGGCCAGGACTCGGCCGCTTATGGCTGACAAATCACCAAGTGAGTCCGAGTCACCGAGTTGACAATAAGAAGTGTCATCATTAACGAACATCGGGCCCGGCAAACATTTATCAATGGCAAACAGACAGAGTCGGGGTGGGGCAAACAAACAAACAAACAAACAAACGAACCGCCTGGGCTGGCAAACAAATGATGAGGCCGAAAGGCGAAGGCGTCAGGAAGTTTGGCAAATTAAATCGGTGCTTAAAATATCCCAGGGTTCAGGGGCAGGCAGGATGTGGTGCGGATAACCGCAGTTGGGACTGAATCTGAATCCTCTTGGGGATGCCTCAACAGTTTTGTTTCCCATCATCCGGCGAAATCAAGCAAATCGTATTAAATAACAGTTAATTACAAATACACACGACCCGGCCAAGGACCCAGATTGGCGTCAGGACGAAACCCAGGCTGCTCTGACCCACTAACCACCACCACCACTC